AGTGCTTCTGAATTTATGCTTCTGTTCTGAGGTCCCAAATAGTATTTTTGGTTATGGAAAGTTCAAGACACTGGTTCTTGAGTGACTTAAAACACTGCTGCTCCATGTCAGATGTTGGATCCATACTTCCACTGTTACTGTAAAGTGGAACACTGAGAAGTGAGGCTGAAACACAGCCCCAGCTGCTGTATTTAATTGCTGGGTTTTATCAGCAGAATCAGTGTCAGCTGGGACTACCAGAGGTGGATCTGCCCCTGCTCTTTCCTTTAAAATCAGCAAACCAAAATGCTTCCCATTTTTTAAGCTATATTAATCAAAATACATTAATAATAATGTAAATCAAACTAACTCTGTAACAAGGCACAAAAAAGAACTGCTGAATGAGGGAAAACTTCCACAAAATGGGATTAAAATAAATTGCTCCTGCCTGCCAGAGGCTGGTGAAGTGATAGTCCCCCCATTTTGCTTTTTATTCCATTGGTTTAGTGGCCTCTGGATTAAACCAAACTTCACAGAGTCTCTCTGATTTCTAGAAAATGTCTTTTTTACTCATCTCCTCAGGTTTGATCCATGATGTTGCCAGACACCTTATTTTATTTCTGGAACCTTCCAGACTGGCTTCTGCTGTAGTCTGTGCCCCCACTGTCCCCAGTACCCTCCTCTGGCTGTCGTTCCCATGGGCTGGCAGGGCAGAAACTCATCTTTCCAAGGGCAGGACAAGCTTCCTGCCTTGCTTCTGCACAGGCTTCAACCTGAGCACATAAAGCTTTGGGACCTGGCAGTCACACAGCCTTCCTTGGCTGCCCACCCACAGAACATCCCAAATGAGCTGTTTGCAGTCCTTGGATGGTAAATGGAGAGGAAACCTGTATTGTCACAAACTGTCACCTTGCAGGATGGGCACAGCATCTTGGTCTGCCTCGTGTCTCAAAAAGAGGGTATAGGAGGTTAGTAACAGTGAATTTCAATATTTTATGTAATGTAATGCAGGAGAATGATGTGATTAACAAATAAGAACCTGAGAAAAGGGCCTTCATGCCCCAAAATTTTGTCCATGTTCACTGAGGAGAATACAGGAGAGCTTCCTGAGGGTTATATTCTCAATATTGCAGAAAGAAGTTATGGAGCATACTTACTGGGAGATGTCCATGAAGGTACATCTCTGTTTTCCTGCAGACTTAAACCATGTGCTATCAAGGTGTGCCAAGATAAGCCCATGGAACTGTTACAAAAAGCCATAATGAAAACATCTGGTAACACCTCAGACTTCCACAGACTTGTCAGTGATTAATCCAAAGATGGAACTTTGGAAAAAAATAGGTGAGCCTTCCTTGCCTGGTTTTATTTTTGAAACTTCCACTCCACTTTCCCTTCAGCTTGCAGCCTGTTTCCCTGCTTGCATTCACACTCTGCATTCCTTCTTCATGCCATTTGTTCAGGCCTGCTTCCCATGATTTTTTTATTCCATGTACTTATGTCCCATGTTTCAGCCACAAGCAGCATGGCCTCTGGATCAGCAACAGCTCACATGGAGTTTTACAGATCTTGTCCTATTAGAACAGGCCATTTATTTTGTAGTTTATAGAGTTATGTGGGAGAATCAGAAGGGTCACATCTCCCTCTGTTTTTCCACAGAAGAAAATGAATGTGGTGTAGTTCATATTGATGCCAAGTACATAATCATATTTCCCTCCTACTTAGGAAACCTTAGCTTCAGAATTTTATGGAAGATGAGCAGATGCATTGCATGGGATGTTTTCCAGGTTCCTTTTTAAAAATCTGAGTCACTCAGCATTTGCTTTGCAAAGTCCTTTACCCTGTAACAACATCCCTGGACCATTTGAATGTGCACCAGGAAACATGCTGAGCAAATTACTAGACTGAATAGCAGAATAGCAAATTTTTAGTAAAGTTTGTCATTCAAGTTAACTATGTTACAAGGGTGCCAAAAAAAATATAAAAAAATCTAAAAGTAGGGTCTATCTTTGTACCCACTTTTGAAAAAAGCCTTGCATTTTTGCTTCATGGACTATGCCCAGCCCAGCCCTGCCCTGTGTGATGGCTCTGTTGCTTTGAGTGTTTCACAAACCTGCTCATTTGACAGAGTGGTAAGTGAAATTGAGCCAGTGGACAGTTTCAGAGCATTCCTAATTGGTCAAAATCTCAGTATCACTACAGCTTTTCTGCAATGCTTTGTATTTGCTGTGCTGAGCATCTCTCCATTATGCTGGATGAATTTAGAGGATCCCTTTCTTTCTAAGTACTGTGCAAATAGGCATCACCAGGTGCTGTTCAGACAAACAGAGACTCAGCCCTCATCTCTGAGGAGTTATGTTGCAAGGAATAACCTGAGGTTTACTTTTTTTGACTCTTGTCTCCTTACTACACCTTACCATGCAAATACTGTCCCCTGAATGATGATTTCAGTGTCGATAATCTAATGTTCCATTAATTCTCTGAAGATATCAGTGAAGTCCTCTCTGGTGAGAGCTAATTCATTCTGTTAGCTTTAGAGGAAGGATTTCAGAACACTTTGTAAGAATGTGTTTTTGGTGAACTGTGTTTATATGAATTTTGGGAACAAAAAGTTATTAAGAATGGTGCATGGCTTTCAATAGCATGATAAGCTTACAGATCACAAGAAGGCTTATGAAATCAAGAGTTTTACTGTGTCCATACACCTATAACTGTCCTTGCACATCTGTTTTGTGTTTTTTGTATTTCCCCAGCACAATTCCAATTGTGGTTTTATTAAATGAGGTAGAAATTGATTGCTCTGGGTGCAGGTGAAAGCAACATCTGGCTTGCTAATGTTATGATTGTCAGAGAATAAGGACAGCTTTTCTCTCTGACTGTAATGTTATACCCCTTTTCTTGCTAAAATAATGAAAAATAAATAAAAATGTTTTCTTTGAGGTGCTTTGTCTATGAGGATATGAGGATATGCCCTTGTAGAAAGTATTTTTGAGTACTTTCTTAAATGTTAAATGTTTTCTTAAATGTATTGCTTTCAGCAATAGGAAAGAAAACCTAACTTAAGAAATTGATAACATTTCATTCCTGCTATTTGAATATTTTCTTCAATGGAAGATTGAAAGTGGGTTTTTTTGGCAAAGAAGGCTTTTATCCCACTTCTGTGGGATCCTTATTTGCCCCCCTGGGCTCTGTGATAGCTGTGGCTGATGCTGGGCACTGGCAGCAGCTGGAGCAGAACAAGATGCTGTGCCTGGTAAAACTGAGCCCAAAGCCCTGTGCTGCACCTCAGCCTGGCCCAGACAGCACCAGAACTGCAGTCACACAGACACAGCTCTTCCTTACTCTCAGAGGATTTATCTCTAGTGTCTTTTTTGATTCTGACTGATACCTGTCCCATCTGATGAGGAAAAATGCCACCTGCTCTTCTAGAGGATTCATTCCTGTGAGGTGTCTCTGCTGGGGGAATGAGACAAACTGTGGCAGAGTTACAGGCCTTGAGAACAAGAGCCAGGGGGCTGAGGGATGATAAACACTGGAGTTAGGGAGCCCTGGATTCCTGGCTCTGCAGCAGCCCACTCTGTGAGCTTCCATTTAATTCCCAACCCAGATATAAGCTAGAAATCATATACTCTCATATTGGATACCTTTAATTTTTTTCCTTTAATAAACTGTGTTATTCTTGTCAAGATATTTTAAGAATTGTCAAGACACTGTATTTCCCTCAGTTGGAAAACTTTATTTAATTCAGTAGTATGAGATGTGTTAAGTTTGAAATTTAGTGTCTGTTTTCCTTAGAAGCTTGTGGATTTATATGTTGTAAGCTTCTCTGGATGAGCAAGATTTTTTCTCAAGTGCCTTGGCAGAGTGATTTCTCCTGTGTTTCCTGGTTGAAAATTCCTTCTCCTTTTGATTGCTGAAAGACCACCATCAGCTCCTTTTTCCCTTCCATGATTTAAAAACATGTTAGGGAAAGTTAATTAACAGTCTGTCCTTTTCCATATTTAAAGATTTTAAAAATATGTTTAGCTCCTGGACGAAGTTTATATTAAAATAGAATATTGCATGGAAAAACCACCTACAGATATTAGTTCTCTGGTAAAAGACACAATAAAGGAGACAGTGACTTTCTGTCTTTCTTGATGGGGATATATACAAGGCATTTCCATGGTGATTAGTGTTTTATAAATGTCAGAGATAAATGGTCACAAAGAACTGCAGTAAACAGTAATAAGTGTTGAAATAAAGACTTTAAAAATTCTCCCAGTTTCCCCTTGTGATTCACTCCCTGCAACTTGTGAATCTACCTGACCAAGCTAAAAAACTCATGTGCAGAGCTTGTATTATTTTCTGACCACCTGACACTTCTATATTTTCACTAATTAAAAATATGTATCACCGTACAGTGGCTCAGCTCATATCAATAAATTTATACATTATAATGTTGGCATCACTCATCTCAAAACGTTTCTGGGAGAAAGTCATGATTGCTCCACAGGCAGTGGGAATGGTCAGTGCCCCCTGCCACTCGGTGGGGCCCTGCCTGGAATGCAGAGCCTGGCACTGCTGGTGGCAGCAGGCAGGTTACCAGTGAGAACGGAGTGGAATGATGATGTTTTTGGCACCATTGTGTAATGCAAAGCCTGTTTTACTTATAAGCCCCAAACTCTATAAAATTGACCAAATCCCAGACTGTACCTCATCCCTGGGCATCTTTTGTATTTGTGCCTGGAAGTCTGTGTGGCTTGGGAAGGGAAGGTGGTGCCAGTCTGGCTTGAAGCACTTTCTTTCCTAAAGAGGTGGAAGTGGAGTCAGGCTCTGTTTACTGCTATGGAAGTGCTTCTGTGCATAAATTGCTTTTATTACAATAAAGGCACAGCTCAAGGGTGAGGCTTTTCAAGAGAATCATTTCTTATCAAATGGATGAGCTTACCTCATGCAAAGTTAGTTGAGAACAGTTACCTTGATTTCTAGTCAAAATCAACATTGGCAAAATCTGTGATTAATGTTTATCTTCTTTATTTCAGAGTGGTGTCTTTTCCTAATTTGCCATGGTCAAGCACCTGAATCCTATTTGCTTCTCCTGTGATGGCAGCTTGATATGAAAATTCAGAAAAAAAAGTGTCTTTGTGAATCCAGGATTTCCAGGACAGAATGAACGCCCAGAGGCTGTTCCTGGTCTCACCACAGTGTGTGGGAACACTTTGCCAGCTATATAAACATCCTATAAATGAAGATAACACTTGTAACTTCAGGGCTCCCATGTTCTGAACTCTTATTTCATCTTGTCTGAAGCAGCAATAGTAACATGAATATTTTACCTACTTTGGCTTTTTTTTTTTTTCCTCTGCTGTGTTTAATTATGTTCCTTTTATTGTGGATACCATAGGACTTAGAAGTGTGTTCAAAATGCCATTCTATATGGTTTAATCCCTCTGGTGGTTACTGGGTTTGAGTGCCTGTAACAAACCAATTGCTCTTAGTCATTTCCCCTCATTATCAGATGTTTGATGGGATGACTTAGAACCTTGTAAGCTTAAGGTTTTGAGGCAACAGTAACGAAAATAAAAATTACCTCATCTCTTTTGATTGTTATGTGCTCTGCATTAATTCATACAGTGGATTTTTTTATACTAAAGTTTTCTTAAGATATGACAAGTGATTATTTCTTTAAGTATGTACTCTATCCATTATTAAATTGATTATTCAAATCTCATTTAAAACAAGAGGCCAGATGGCAATATTCCAGTATTTGTTGCTACTAGCAACCAAAAACCCCAAACTGAATGATTTTCCATTTTTCACTGTGGATGAAGAGATCTCTTCATTTTACATGCAATAAAAAGAAGCTACAGCTCACCAATTATGAAACCAGATTGTTATACTAATACTTTATAAAAATCATTCACTGACATTCTGTTACTCTTGATGACCTCCTGATGTATGTGATCTAATTCTAGGTTTGTTAACTTTGTTACCAATTATAATTTTTAGTTAGAATAATATTGTCAGGAAAGGAAGGCTTTTTTCTTTTTCGTTATCTTGCTCAGATTATGAGACTCCAATTAATGAGATTATGGCTATTCTAAGAAAGTATAAGAAAAAATAAAATTAAGAAAGGTTCAGAACATAATTTACATGGTGGTTGGTACATGTGATTTAAGTAAAAGAAATGTATTTTGAGAATAAACTTTAAAGTGATATAAAAATATCCTTCAAAAAATAACAGCTGGGGAATGAGTGATTAATGTCTTCAGAAGTATCTGTGATTTAAGAAATGGGGACTGAGATAATATCTAGAACTTATTCAATGTTACTTGTTAGCATTTAGGAGTCCCAGAGCTGACCACTTTGGCTAATTAGCCAAAAAATGACAGTGAGCCAGGGACTCTCTGGGTCTCCTCCTTAATGGGGACTTGCTGTGTAATGGCAAAAAGTGATGTCAGTCTAACGCATTAATTGGTATCTGACACCTGATAATGACAATAATAAAGAAAAATATGCAGAAGCAACTTTTTCATTTTCATGGAAGGGGCTCTTTTGCGTGCAACTAATTTCTTCATATGCACTTACAAGCATCTAAACATGATTCCTACCTATGTGAGCCTTGTCACTGCAGATATAAAAGCAGAGTATTTTAATAAGACCCCATTGAAGCTCTGTTTTTGCCACAGAATTAAATGGTCTTGAGGTGCATTTATTTTTTTACTTGTTTGTTCTTGATTCGCTATGAAATCAATAGTAAAATTCCCACTGACTGTGGCACACACCACTGGCACAGATTTCCTTGGTTGCTTTATAGGCAGCAAAATTTTTGGTCAATGGCTTGAATTTCTGCAAAACTTTAGACACTATGCACTTCATACAAGTACTAGATATACTCTGTACAAATTATATTTAGTGGTATTTATTAAATATAAGTTAGCCTTTTGCTTACTCTGAGTAGGAGATGAGAAAAGGGATCCTAAATGGCTGATGAGAGATTGCTTAATGTGCTATGAGGAAGATCTGAGAGGTTGTAGTAAACAGTGTAGCACAAGAAAGAGAAAGGAGAGGCAAATATGAAAGTACACTTTTGTTATTTATTGAATGTAGAAAGAGATTTTAGAAATTTGAAAATTTTCACAAATAACTTTTGAAATAAAATGCTTGACAAATAGTAAATATGCCCAGCCCCATAAACCAGGGGTTGTTTATACTCTGGTAATTTCAAGAAACAAATATTATCTTATAAATGCAGTGATGGCAAAATGTGCTGGCATACATGTTAAGTTTCTAATCAAACATTGCAAAAATTCATTAATCAGTATTTCATAGTTCATTACAGTCTGACTAATTTTGAAATCCTTCATGTAAATTGATTAAATGTCTTCAGTATTCAGATAAATGGGCTTTTGTTTAAAGCAACCTTTACTGTGAAGTCCATATTTCTAGAGGATTGAGTTCTGGTAACATTTGACTGTCATATCTGACATACTAGACAGTTGCCATTTCACCCCTTCTCCTTCCCCTCCTCTCTGTTCCAAATATCTCATTGAGCAACTGTGAGAAAAATATTCTTAAATCTTCGTTAGACATACCAGGTCATGGTTAGAAAGTGCTCCATCTTCTGCTGTCATCAGTCACCAAAGCCTTTTTTTTTCCCCCTTTTTATTGATACAACTCGTGATACAAGCTTGTGTTTGAAGGAACTGATTTGCTGCATGAACTGCAGATGTGAACAGCTCAGGTTGGTGATCAGGCCCCAAGAGAATACATGTGAAAAATACTCTGGGGGCAGCAGCTCAGCTGTGCACAGCCACTTGAACAGGGGAATTGTCCATCCCTGTATCCCCACACTGCCAAATTCCAGCTCCCAGACAGGCACAGCTTGGTCCCTCCCAGGCTGAGCTCCCTGAAAGGAAAGGCTCTGCTTCCACTGGCTCAGATTTTAAAGTTTTATGTAAGACTGTGATGGGAGATTAATGGAGCTACTACAGCACATAGAGCTTTTTATTAGAGAGACCCCATTCCTTCTGTGTAAACATCCAGCAGCTTGTCTGCATGGCAAGTGCAGAGAGCACTCTCACACAGTCTTCTGCTGAATAAATCCTCCTGAAAGCAAAGTGCTGGCTGCAAAAGTAATGGCCACGTTCTCGTTTGCTTTACTGGACAATTGAAAACTTTCTACTGTGAATTTTCAACTGGCTTTTCAAAAGTGTTCATCACAATTTAATTATTTCAGAGCTCGTACAGAGTGAATGTAAGGGCCCAGGAGTGGCCAGTGTGTATTAAACTCTCAAGTTAAAATCTGACTCCCAAGACCAGTGTTATTTAGCAGACCCTTTTTGAGATAAAAAGGGTGTCAAGTCCTTATTCATGTGAACAGTCCTGGTTGTTTCTTGGAAACTATAAGAAACTATAAGTTTCTTGTACTATGAGAACCACAGAACAAAACCCAGTAGATAAGAGCCATCTCATAGACATATCTGCCTTCCTCCTAATCAGTGTAATTAAAAGTGTAAATGTTGGATTCAGCTGAAAGAACCTGGGAGGAGTTCAAGGAGATTTCCTGATAATCTTTGACCAGGCTATTAAAATGAGACTTTCAAAGGGGTTAGGTACTTGCCTGAAATCCCTCAGAATATCTGAGCTGAGATGTTCAGTCTTGTGTCTTGCTGGATTTTGGTGTACAGCTGATACCAAGAGCTGTCAGAGAACTCATGGGCATTTTGACCATAGTGTGCAGGGAGAGAAAGACATTCTCTTTTTCAAACTTCTATTTCTGCAGACTCTTTGATCTTAATAGTAAAATTTCATCTGTTTCCTGTCATGTCAGTCTAGAGAAAAAAAGGAAAAAAACTGGAAAAGGACTATTTCAAGTAAATTGTTTTACACATAACAGACCCCAAATTACATTTATTTCTGCAGTGCTATTCCTAGGAAGCATTTTATTTAGCAAATTAATAAATCTTTCACAAGTCACTTACATATGATAGTTGTATGCCGATCTGGTGGTTTCTGGACTAAATTCTCCTTTAGGGTTTGAAAGTCTTATTTCCAATGGTAATTTTTTTTTTTTTTTAATTTTCCAGCAGCAGCCTGATCAGTAACTGTGCAATAGTATGTGCTCCAGCCTCGTTTCCTTTTGTAATTTCATAGCAGCTGCCTTCAGTAAAGATATTGTACTTACAAGTGTAAGGTGAGCAGAATACAGAGAATACACCTTCGAGTTACCTGGGAGAGATACCAATGCGTATGAGGGAAAAAATATTGAAGCAATACATACTTTTGCCTAGCTTTTATGAACATGAAGTTTTGGAACAATTTATCCCTCACCTCAGTAATATTTGTGTCTTTCATAAATCATATTTACATATATTTTATGGAAAAATAGCTCCCCTTACTGCTTCTGTAATAAAAGTCTTTACAAATCTGCTCCCTAATAAATTAAAAGTCGCTGGCCACATCTTTTTTGAAAGCCATAAAGGGGAATTAAGTGCCCACCTCCTATTAACTTTTGATGATGCCTGAGAAAAACTGCCAGAAGATTTCTCACAGATGCCTCCAAAACTAGTGGTTGAGAGTGTAGTTTGATTTTAGGAGCAAGAAATTTGCTGTGTTACACTCTGTTTTTTGTCTCAGAGAGGATTTTATTTGGTGATGTGCCCATGCCTGACACTGTGGTGTTTTTTCATGTTGGGTGCTTTCCTTTTCCCAGGGCTGGCTTTGCCCTTGGAGGTGGCTGCAGGGAGCAGAAGGATGTGACTTTCTGTGTGCCTTTGAAGAAATATCCATTACCCCCAAATTAATGATTTTATTTGCTTTGACTGTAAATATGTTTCCTTCAGATCATGATACTTCTATTATTGCTTACTAGTGTGTTTTCACCTTTAGCTACATATTATTTCATGGGATGGCCTCTCCTAGCAGAGTGAGATGGAGAAATCAGCTTTGGGAAAAGGAAGTAACAGATCTGGGCAGTGGTGATGCTTGAAAGTGTTTCTTGCATGCCACAAATTCCCAGTTTCTTACTGTTACAATTACTTTGTAGTGGAGCCAGGCAGTGTTATCCAAAAGAGAGGAGGAACAGTTCTGGGCAAATCTGTAGTAGAAGGTGGCACCTGGTTTCTCCCAAGTGTCTAAAACTGGAAAGGCCATCCCAGTGAGAAATGTTCAGAGGAGTTATGTTTGCTTTTGGGAAATAAAACAAAAAACTATAAAAGTCACGAATGTTTTGTTCCTCTCCTCCACTGCTGAATTTTCTGCCCCACAGTCCCTGTGTCTGCTTACATTGCTGTCTCATGGTAAATATTGTGTAATTATGGTGCAGAGAAAGGGTGGAAAAGCACCAGGCCAGAGTCCCTCATGTTCTGGACCAAGTCTGACTAAACCCAGCCCTGCAATCTCAGGGGTTTCAGGTTTTTCTTGGCTCCCCTGGCATCAGCTGAATCCTTCACCCTTGGTGATGGCAGCAGCTGATGGAAATGTGGCCACAGCAGAAATAAAATTGCTGTACTTCTGTAGGCAATGAGCTAAAAATGAGCAATCATGGACTAAAACAATCTACAGACTTGGGGAGTAAAATATTCCAAATGGCTTAATTAAGTCTTTGTGCGGCTGAATTGTTGATCCAGAGATGAGTGTCTAAAAAAGGTTTATTTTCCTGCATTAAAAATAGTGAAGTAAAAGAAAATAAAAAATGGAGGTTTGCCTACAGTTAATATTTCTTCATGTTTGCTGGGATTTTTTTCCTCCTCTCATCATACTTTATTAAACTGAAAATCAAAGAAAACTACTGAAATCTATATGTGCAGTACCCAATAGTTTGATTTGAGTTAATTTGCTTTGGAAATTAAGGTAAACCATAGGTAGCTTTTCAAATAAAATCAAGAGAAACTTTGCAAATTAATGGTGATTTAAATACTTTTTGTTCTCATTTATACTGGCAAATTTGAGCTGGATTAGGTAGGAGGACCTACATATTTAATAAAACATTTCACAAAAAATTAGAGAAAGTGTCATTTTATCAAAACGAAAAGATTGCTTTCTGAAAATATTGTAAATACACTAAAAATAATTATTTGAAAAGGTTTGGCTAGACTTTGAATCTAAGCAGCTAACATTCAACAAGAGCTATGCAAAGACTATGAAAATCCAACTTGAGTTTCCATTATTAACCATTAATCTTAAAATAGATGAATCCACAGA